TATAACATGGACATCAACATGGCATTTGATGCAATACTCTTTAATCGTCAACGTAGCTTCATTTTTTCCTCTGAATTGCACCCCAACTGAAAATTCACCAGAATTATCGAATGATTCAGTCATTTGGTATGGAGGTAAATGTGGCATGTATGGGAATTCAGGTGCCCTCATCGCATCATAGTCTATCTCGTACATGTGAGGAGTAGCTTCATACGGTGCCGGAACTTCATCAATTGCACCTCCACCAAAAATATTTTCGTCGTCGCCCAAAACGGGTTCTTCGGTTTCTTCATCTTCGCTTGAATCATCGTGAATTTCTCCCCATCGATTTTCAGCGTCAATATCAACAACTAATTTCGGTATGTTTCTCGTCTCATACTCTGCTGTTGCAGATGTCCCCCCGACTTCATTTACACTTTCCAATAGTGCCATAAAACTATTCGGGAACCTGTACGTCGGCTCCTCAAACTGACTATATAAAGCCATTTCAGATGGATTTTGAGCCACACCTCTTGATGACCCAGGAACATCACATATGTTACGCACATCAACAAATAACTCAATAACTGCTATATTGGTTGACTCATGTAATCCAACCATGGTTCCAATATCATCTTCTTCTTCAAGTGGAACTGCAGCATATCTGACTGGGTTGGGGCATATCATAAACCTATACCTCAAACCATCAACTGCAGCTCGAATTTTTCTTTCTATCTTATGCTTCATTTCTATAAATGTGATGTCTTTTTGAACATCATATTTATTGGTTTTTCAGACTGAAAAACTACTCCGACCTCATTTTCCATAATTGTCCATAATGGACAATCGTGAAAAATTATTGCTCATTTTCTCTACAAATAAAAAATAAATTAATTTAGATTAAAATATTAGATAAGATAATTTCATAAAACATTAAATCATTAAATATAATAATATACTATTATATTAATGATCAAATAAAATTTTTTATTTAACTTGATTAATTGATTAATTATATATTAATAATGATTTAATAATTATTATTAATCTAATGATTTGATATTTAATGATTTAATAATAATATGATTTAGACATGATTACTAATAATTATTTATTATAAATATTTAATGATTTAGATTTGATACTAACCGTTTAGTAATTATTACTAATAATCATGATTAGTTTGATAATATTTTTTATTTTTAAAAAATATCAAACAAATTTGTTAGGCAAAATATCGTGATAATGCGTTGGCCGGATTATTTCATTCAATTAATTTTTACTCCTTACTAATTTACACATACAATAAATAAAACAAAATATTTTTTTTAAACAACACTAAATATTTTTAAACACAATATTTTTTTTAAACAAAAATTATCTCGCACAAATTAGTTTATATAATCTAATATAAACTTACTTTCTAACTAATTTACACATACACAACAACAAAAATAGACAACAAAAAATAATAAATTACTCACGTTTATGCCTTCCTCCTTTCCTTTCTTTTCCTTCTTTGTTTCTTTATTCGAATCAATTTCAACATGGGCAAATGTTGTGGAATAATGTCATGTATGTGTAAACCGTTTAATTTATTTAAACAGTAATAGCTCCCACAAATTAATTTTATATAATCTAATATATTATAATATAACTTAAACTAATAAACTATTTCTTTATTATAATATAACTTAGTTAAAATAACACACTAATTAAGCACTAATTAATTTTTTTATAAATAACTTCAACTTCATGAACAATCTAATATATGTTTAAAGACACTAACAAATTAATTAATATTTTTTTATATTTAATAAATTAAACTAATAAACTAATTAACTAATTTTTTTATATAATATAATATATAACTTAAACTAACAAACTAATTAACTAGATTTTAGTTTTACCCTAAACCCTAAACTAACAAACTAATAATTTCATATAATAAACTAAATTAAACAATAAAAAATTACCTCACAAACTATGTTTGATCCTTTATCTTATTTTCTTCTTCTTCCTTTTCTTTCTCTCGGCAAAGTTTATATGTGCTTATGCTTATGCTCTTGGTTCTGCTTCTGCTTCTACCCTAAACCCCATATCATTTATATAAAGCAAAAAATCGTTGTACATAGTCATTAAAATTTGACTATTGAATAAAATAATATTAGGATTGAATCGTATAACTATTGAGCATTGAAAGTCTTCAATTGAACAACAATATTTGCTGCATTTAACAGCTAAATTAACGCTGCAATCATACAGCTATGGATGCAACGCATGCAGCTACGGATGCAGGAATCTCCCAGCTAGCTATGGATGCAACGCATGCATGAGTGATAGAGTTAAAGCTTGGTCGCGATGCAGGAATCTCCCAGCTATGGATGCATGATGATGCAGACCTACCATGTCGTCGGGACTCCATGGCGACCTACCATGTCGCCGGTGTCGCCGGACTCGCGACCTACCATGTCGCCGGGACTCCATGGCGACCTACCATGTCGGGACTCCATGGCGACCTACCATGTCGCCGGCCATGGCGACCTACGATAGAACCGATCCTTGGTCGCCCCGAGTGCCTCATGCATGAACCGATCCTTGGTCATCCTTGGTGCATGGCCCATGCAGAGGTTTGCCGAGATCAGACCACGTGAACAAAGCGCAGCGCGACCTATCCCATGCCTCGTGCATGGCCCATGCATAGCACCAAAGCAGCATCAGCGAGCAACAGAGGGCAAAGAACCAAAGCAGAGGGCAAAGAATGATGGACGCCGGGCGTGCATGGCGACCTTATAGGACGCCAGGCGTGCATGGCGACCTTATAGGACGCCGGGCGTGCATGGCGACCTATAAGGACGCCGGGCGTGCATGGCGACCTATGCTGTCACTGTAGAATTTACCCCATTCGAGCAATTAATCTGGCCAGTGCATCATCTCGTAAAATATTTTTTTTGAATGCATTATGTCGTGAGTTTTTCCGTAAGAAACCAATGCAAAGTTCTGGATTTGCCTGATTACTAAAATCAAACACGGTCAGCTTCCTTCCAAGAATTTATACAAAAAATAAATAAATAAGGAGAAACGATTCGCAAAAAAGTCAACATAAATCTATGACCTCGCGGCTCCAGCACACCAAAAGGCTTCGACTAATTCAAATCTAACAAAAGAGCATTTTCACACTAAATTTCCCTCCACAGTCAATACCTCCCTCCCACTAGAAAGAACCACAAAGAACGAAACTGGGTCTTCTACTTTAATGAAGAATGAAGGAAAAACAGTAAACAGTAAGACAAGGCAACAACTGGAATAAATCAAGAAGACAGCTACCTGATGAATGGAGGAGATCAAAGAAAATTGGAGGAAGTCTCAAAATTTTCGGGTTTTTTGAAGATGGATTCAAAAAGACTAAGATCTAGGGCAGGCCAATCATGGACCATGAAACATGGAAACATATTTGTAGTTGGAATTTTGTTGCGAAAACGAGCTAATTAACTCAGGAAATCAACAAGCAGTAAAATAAATAAAGAACACAATATTTAATGAGGTTTGGTAATGTGCCTATGCCCTCGAGAACGATGAGCGGTTGTTTTTTTTATTATTTGCAATAATCCAAAATTAGGGTACAATTACAGTATATAATCAGTTTGCTTCGCTTATTCCACTCCACTCTAGCATTTGTCCTCCAACTGATATATGAACTATACCTAACAAATTTCAAAGGTTAAAGTGCTTCGATAGAGCACGATTTTAGAAAATGAGAGGAATGAAGAACTCAATTTAATGAAACTGCTCTACTGTTGAAGATGGAGTAGGAAGAGGTTGGAAAAAAAAACTAGGGTTCGCGCACGAGACAAATAGGGATATGAATCCTATGGCGGAATTTGCAAGATAAATGCCACTAATTACATATCTCTAACGGCGATATTGTTTTACAAAAATGCCATAACTGTGCGTGTTTTTAGCGACGTGTATTAGATAACGCCAGCATTATAAGCCTAATGGCGTTTTCTCATAAAAACACCACTAAAAGTACTTGACTATTACGGCACATTTGAATAAACGCCGCTAATTTTTCCTTTTTGTGGCGTTTTTTATGTAGATGTCGTAAAGATATAAAAAGATAGTGGCGTTTTTTGAGTAAATGCCAATAAAGATGCCGCTAAATACCAAGTTTGCTGTAATGACTACTTTTCTAAAACTTACAGTCGACATTCATATATTTCTCTATTATAGAAACTTCAGACTGCTTTTGCATATGACAACCATGTATAAACAAGGAAAGATACTTACATTTTCCACTCCCACAAAGCTTAATCTTTTCTCAGAAACTACCAGCGGATTACCCCTTCCAAGTTTCAGTCATGAAAAACACTATTATGTAAACTAAAAAAAAGAACATGAAATCAAAACTTGATAGTAAAGTTCCGACTTACGCCTAACCAAAATCCCTACTTAAAAATTTGTAGTCCAAAATTTACTCTAAATTACCAAAATAGACTCGTTTAAACCATACTAAATCCTTTGTTTCCCACCATTTACTCATAAAACAAATACAAGTAAAAAGAAGGGGAACAAAGACAACCAATAGTGTCCATAGTTCAATCTTTATTCTTATTGCTCCATTCACACGAAGAGTATTTTCATCAACTTTGGTATTGTGAGTTGGATTTAGAGGCTCACTCTTGCTTTAGTTGTATATTTATCCAATCGATTGAATATTAGTTCAATCAGTATGAATGTTATTATAACATTCAGAGACTCGTAGGTTTAATTTTGTTTAGACATAATTGTTCCGTTTAAAGAGTTTGAAATTATAGAAACTTTAGATACTATAATTTATTTTTAAAAAAATTAAAATTAAAATTTATGTCTGCCTAAAATTGGCCAAAGTGCCTATGATTAATGTAAAAACTACTTATTGGTAAATAAGAAAATTAAATGAAACTATTTTAAATATTTACCATAAATTAATTATCACTATGAATACATCAAATCTTCTATTTTCTGTCAATTCGCCCGCAAAGCCAACAACTTGCAAATGATAGCACAAATCGAAACTTAATAGGTAGCATTCTCCACGTAAATCCCTCATATGATCACTACAATTTTGATGGTTTTAGAATTCGACCACCTCATCTGGCACGATTAGGCTCCTCGGCTATGGTTTCTAGCAATGGTTTCTTGGACCTTGTCATGGACAGCCTATGCATGAACTCCGGAGATGAAAACTCTTCGATATCATCCAAGTTAAGCTTCGCCTGCATTGACCTTTCCTCCTCAATCTCCTCTTCATCAGTTTCCGGCAAGACCTTTACCTTCCCGCCGAAACCCTTTTTGGATGCCGAATTCGCGGCAATAAGCAAGGCTCCCATGTCAGCCGCGGTGACCGCGGAGTTCACTCTCTTCATGGGAAACATGACGTATATATTGGCCGGCTCCAAATCTTGGTCTGCGTTGAGAGGAGAGAATCTACGGCCGAGCTTGAGTGACTTAGAGTTTACGACGAACAAGTTTGGAGTTTCGAGCATTAGCTCAGCCGCTTTGATGGGTTCGTCGAATCGCCTGATTTCGCCGGTCGGTAGAATCACTTTGGTTGTTTTTGATGATCTGGTGCTGCCGCCCGATGGGGTTGATAAAGCGCAAGAAACGTAGTTCCCCATGTTGTTCCTAGGCTTTAACTACCTCAATGCAAGAAAAAGGAAAGATGAGTGTTAAAGAGGGTTTCTTGGGGGAGTTGTGGAAAGGAATGTGTTTACTTTAGAAGGTGATGGGGATGGAGTTGTTGATATACATTTATAAAGGCCAAATGGAAATGGTTATCATTATTGTATATAAATAGTTTAAGGCTAAACTTCACAAATGATCACTATACTTTCTATAAATAGTTTTTGTGCACTCAACTTTTAAAAGTTACAAAATAAGTTTAACTTTTTTATTTTATTACAAAAGAACACCATCGGTTAGCTAACTTTAATTGCCGGTACGGGATGATATGACATGCTGGAATAGTGATAATTTTTTAGTATTTTAAATAAAATAATAATAATAAATTAAAAATATATGATAATTTATTTTATTAATTAGTACGCACATCATCTCATTGATGACAATATTAAATGTTATTTAATTGAGTCATATTCATTTTGTAATAAAATCTAAAACCTAATGTTTATTTTATAATTTTTGAAAGGTCAATATTCAAAAAGATTATTTTGAGATAGTTTAGTGAATATTTGTGAACTTTACTCATTGTTTAACTATATCAAAGCCCCTGTAGTTTTCTAGAGTTTTAAAATTGTATCCATTATTTTTATTCCTAGGAATTTAATCTTTTTGACTTATCTAATTCTAAAATAAAATTCTATTTGATAATGTTGTTAAGAGATTTTCTTTACTTTTTTTTTTGAACGGGAGAGAAGGTCAGAGACCGTCACATTGAACGTGTTATTCGAAAATAGAGGAGCCATGTATGTCCCCGGTAAGGAAGCGCTTGAAGCCGAGGGCAGAAAGAGTTGAAAACTAGCAATAGAACCATCCCTTGGTGTGTCCATCTTGCAATGAAATTGCCACTGCATTTGTTTCATGATAAATCTTTTGTAACGAACATTCCACCTTTTGTAGCAGAGGAGAGCTATGGATCTGATGAGGCCAAAGGAATTGTAATTGGATGGAGGAGAGAACAAGATCAAAGCTTCCGAGCTACCGGTCTGGACCAACACGCGATAGCCATCACTCCAAGCGAGACAAAGGCCGAAGAGGATGACCCACAATTCAGTTTCCAGCACCGTGGATTTCCCAGTGTTGTTAATTAAACTTTAATTTTGAAATCACAAGAGATATTGAATTCCTAAATTATAAGGAAATGGGCTAAATTTAAAAAGCTCAAAAAGCATGAGGAGTGGAGGCAAAATGAGACCAAATGAATGCAGAAAAATGTGCAGGAAGATTCGTAAATGGGTTTTGTGTGAACTGGGAAAATGGGAATGGCTGACATTTTGACATTGAGTGGGCAATCCCCGCGTCAAGGAAAAAGGAGTGAACTTCTAATCATGTGATTTGGTTGGAAGCTACAATCTCTAAGCTGTCGGAATCATTACACATATATAAAATGGGGCTAAACTACCAGTTAGATCATTTTTATTTTTATTTTGTTTGAATTTGTTCACCAACATTGAAAAAAATTAGGTGACAAATCACTTATGTTATCAACTTTTTACAATTTAATCATTAAGTTGTTTACTCCGACCTAAGTGATCAAATTAATGGGAATTAACAGCTCAATAACATAAATAATTGAAATGTAACATTTTTAATTTTTGTAACCAAAATTTGAACAAAATTAAAATTGAGGCGATCAAGGTAGTTTATCCTATAAAGTAGTTCATGTTTACCCTGTCCCATTATTTGCCTTGGTTTTTCTTACAATATCACCATCAATTAATTAATTCAATTGATAACTTCCTGGCAACTCAACCAAAACTACGAAAAGAAGAAGGATGGATTAATTCCTAAAAGAAAAAGTCTTTTTATATCCATATAGTTTAGTCAGCCAAGCAATGGTAAGGCATGTGAAGCTTGGTTCTTGATTTTCAACGAAAATAGTCAACGGTTTGGATGGAAGTGGTTACTACATTTTTTTCTTATGGGTACAGATGGGAGCCAGTAGCGGCGGCGTTGACGGTGGTAGTGTAAATATACTTCAAAACGCGGCTTATCGTACACCACCGCCGGTGCCAGCAACTTCCTTATTCGATTCCTTTTGTTATACGGATTTATGTCTTGGAAATGTATAAATTAAGTTACGGCTAAATAATTAAATCATCTGCCTTATTCTTAGAAACAATTTATTCTGATTACAACGTCATCCCAAATTTGAACTTCTTTAAAAAAATCGACGCACCACCATTTATTTTTATTTTTTGATTAAATGCACTGTAATTTAAAAGAAAGCCAGCCATGTGGGTGATGATCGTACCAGGAACCTCATTAATAGGAATTTTATAACAGTAAACTACTTCCTGCCAAAAACATCATACGAGCAGTGGTCAGCATGAGATTTTGATGATCATGGGAGAACTAAAAATTTAAGTCTTTAATCAAAGGTTTAAATTATAATTTGTATTTATTTTCAATAGCGTTGTGTTTATCGTTATTGTGAATATGACATATGAATATTGTAACCATTGCAAGAAACATGGTTGTGGATTTTTAATAATATATATTATTATGGATATAACAATTGTTGATTTTGCATTTTTGGATGATGTATTTATCAATGTATAACAGTCATTGTTGTAGTTACATACCGTTATTTAAGTAATTGTTCATAATAATAAGTGTTGGAAAAATATTAATTATCCAAAAAAAATAAGTGTTGAAAAAAAATAAATTTTAAGGGTAGTTTCATAATAATAAATATTGAAAAAATGAGTCCCTAATAACAAATATATTTTTTTTAAGAATATGCTCATAATAACAAATATTTAAAAATTGAACCTCCAATAAAAAGTACTAAAAATTGGATTCATAAAAAGTAAATAAATATTAGAAAAAAATAAATTTTAAAGTATGTCCCTAATAACAAATATTGAAAAAATTGGACACCCGATAATAAGTATGGTTAGGCTTTAATAACAAATGTTACAAAATATTAGTAAAAAATTAGATATCTATACAAATATTAGAAAAAAATAAATTATAAAAATAAGCCTCTAATAATAAATATTAAAAAATAAGCCTATAATAATAAATATTAAAGAAAAATTAAAACATAATAACAAGTATTTCAAATAATTGCTCCTATAATACATTATAAAAATTTTGGTCATGGGCAGGTGCCCCTGGTCTTTTTGGCCCAATTGGCCGAACAGTATATATATATTTAAGAAAATAAGGCATAATGACTTTTATTTTATTTTGAGATCTATGTCATTTTATTTAGTGTTCATGGAAATAAAAAATATTTTTTATTCAAACTCAATATGTTGAGGTGACGAATTTTAATAAAATATAAATTTTATTAAATTTTACCATATCAAGGTAAAAAATTTGAATAAAAAAAATATTTATTTTTAAAATTTATCACCTCGTCGTGATGAGTTTCAAGTCATTATAATAAATACTGTAAATTCTAAAATACACTTTAACATGTCTATTAGACTAATTTTTTTATTAGTTTTGGCATATTAGGCCAAAAAAATGGGTACCCCTCTTGCCCAGGCCCAGATACAGCACAGGCAGAAGACAGTGGATCAAAATCACCACCAAACCAATGAGAAAACTCAGCAACTACTCCCACCCTCGTGGCCGTACTTTGTTACCGGAGTTCCAGGTTCATTTAATGGACTATTGTTCCCGATATCCTCGATCTATATCGGACACTCGGCGATGCCATTGAAATGGCTGTCCCAAGTTCCCGAGCAAGTTCCCGAAATCAATACTATATAATCATATTAATTTTCCTAAAAAAATAGTCTTAGATATTATTTAACCTTTATTTTATAATTTTTAAAACTTTAATAAAAAAACATTTTATCATAACTCAATAATCATTTATATCATTTAGCTGATTACTAAAAGAGATATCGGGGAGGGGATCCCAAAACCTCTCTGTTTTTATTCAATTTAGTTCCGGCCCCTACCATTTTTCGATTTAAATATTTCTTAGGTCCTATTAATCTGAAATTAGATAAATTAAGCTTGGCCTCCATTTTTTGTTTAAATATTTCTTTAGTCCTTTTCAATTTTGAAATTAGTCAAATTAGACCCAGACTTTCATTTTATTACTATTTATAGTTGTCCCCTCCCAAACTTTCATCCCGGCTTCGCCCGACTGGGTACGGCCTTTTAAAAGGTCCAGATGGTTGTTTTGTTCTCTATGTGATTTTTATTTTAAATTTTTCTAGATTATTATTATTATTTGTTTTTATATCCAAAAGCATATTAGACTTTTGTATGGAAAGAAGGAAAAGTAACAATCAAATGCAGGGTTGTTAGTTTCGTTTTAAGGATATTTCGTTTACGGGTAGAATTATAAGAGTATTATACTTTTAATCCATCGCTAAGAATATTTGATATAATGTATATAAGGGGTTCATTATCATAGTTATATAACTTGTTATACACATACACAGGCACATGTACATATTGTGCCTCACTTCACTCAGGAGAGTGGTCTTATGTGCTTTACTTGTTAACAAATAATACAGGTTTTAGCTTGCTGTTCTGTAACGTTTTATTTATTTATTTGGACATATAATTCAGATTAAGATAAGTATCATATATGCCTAATTAACAAACAAAAAGTGCATATGCTCAAATCTTCTTCTAATCATACAATTTTACCAGATAAGATTTGGTATTATAATAATCCACTACAATTAGTCTTTTCAAATGTCATTATACGCTAAGAGAAGTACCATTTTGGAGATGCAAACAATGATAATTAGGAATAAAAAATTAGGTTTAGTAGTGAACAGCATAACACCTGCAACTAGAAAAGAAAGTATTGAAAAGCTGAAAGCCTTATCCAAGCCAACTTTTATCCGTAGGTCAGAAAAAGGAGAAGACAACACAAAATGAAGAATCAAGAACTATCACTACGCTAAATTCTTATTATTTTGTTTTGATACGCTATCGTTATTATTATTAAAATTGGGTTTTAAGAGTTAAAATGTTTATATATTTTCATATTGTGTATTTTGTGTTCAGTTTTTTTTTAATCTTGCCATGATAATATCTCGTATTTAATATTATGATGTCTAAATTTATATACAAAGATATTATTTTTCAGTAAAAAAACGACGTGTTTTAAAATTACACATAAAAGTTGATTAAATATAATAAATGTTTAGTAATTTTTTCGTTTAAATTTTTTCATGTAAAATAGTATTCTCTTTCTCATTAAATATGTCCCTTTTGAATTTTAAATTATCTCATTCAAAATGTACTATTAAAAAAATTAACAAATAATATAATACTTATATTTTTTTTACCCTTATTCTTTGACACTTATCAAAATAAATTTATAAAATTTAGCAATCACTTTTCGAGAGATAATTTTATCAATCCCCATATTTTAAATATGGTCAAAATTATTTCCTAAAATTATTTGTTTTATCAACATGAGCCATAATTAATGGGACGATAGAAGTAATATTTTATTTCTTTATTTTTTACAATAGTTTCTATCAAGGACAGATGCAAGAATTTGTGTCAGAGACTAACATAAAAAATTGTATTAAAACCTTAGGGGTGAAGATTATAAAATCGCAGGGATATATAATTAAAATAATTCATATAAAATACAAAAAATATCTAAAATACAAGGAAATTTTAAATTTCTAAGAGTACGATGTACCCCCTAGCACCCTCTCTATCCATCCCTAATTTCTATTACAATTATCTCTGTTTTTTAAACGAAGAAAAAATGAGTTTTAACATGGTTATGAACATAAAACATGTCTTCGATTTTTTAAATTTAGGGAGGGATTGGCCTAATTATAAGATTTTATTAAAAAACACAATCAAACCATTTCATTTTCTAAAGCTGCATGGATAAATTTAGGCGTTTCTATCAAAATATCACCCTAAAACTCAATAATTATCATTTAGGTATTCTCTCCATTAATATTATTGATCTAGCACTATTTTTGACACGATGATAATAAAGCGCGGATCGTCAGCCGTACTTTCGCGGAGTTTTGTTTCTGCCTTTCGTACGTGTCAGCCGTTCAACGAATTACGTTATACCAACTCGGAAAGAACCTTACAAAAGTGCATCTGACTATCTACGCTTTATTGTCATCGTGTCAAAAGGGTGTTAGGTCTATAATTTTAAGGTAGAGAGTGCTTGACATGTAATTATTGGGTCTAAGGTGATATTTTGGTAGAAACGCCATAAATTTACGTAGGTAAGTGGTAAGGACAAACACACGTGTAGACTATACGTAATAACTACTACACAACAATATTAATAAAATAATAAATGAAAGTAAATCAGTCATACGTTCTTCACTTTTCATGATTGGTTTCCGAAGGCAAGTACAATGCTTACACGTCACACCACACTCACATAAAAAGTATAAATACTGTAAATAAATTAGTTTCCACTTGTAAATAATTACACAGTATGGGATCAAAGAATCAAATCAGTCGGTAATGGTGAACTAATTAAAATATTGTACCCAATAACTGTTTTACACAAATAATAAGCAATCTTGTTGAACTTATGTTTTCATATAGCAAATAAAATAACGGCAAAAGTTTAGTGGACTAAATTGAATTTATTTAAAGTTTTAAAAAATAATTTAAAATCCAAATAAATTTGAAATATATGTGCTCAGTGTTTTCTAAACTTTGTCAAAACTTTAAAATGAACATTTTAAGTTCAAATTATATTAAAAATATCTTTCAAATATTTTAGAATCATTTTCAAAGTTTTATATTTCTCAAAATGTCAAAAAACTATTCTTTTAAATAAGCTTTGATCAGAAACTTTCTAAGACAGTTCCGCAAAAAGTTTCGATACTTTCCTATAGTTTCGAAACTATCTCTAGAGTTTTGAAACTTCCATTGAAGTTTCGATACTTTGGGTCCAACGGTCAAATTTTTTCAACGACTCATTCGAAAAGTTTCGAAACTTTCCATAGAGTTTCGAAACTTTGTGTGCAAGTAGCCTTAAATGCGCAAATTTAAGTCTTACAATGTCTCTGGACATCCCTCAACGACTAGAAACGGCTATTAACTCATTCCACCATATAAAAACAAGTTGAGGACAATTGAAGAAGGTGACCAACACCTACCCAAGCAATCAAACACAAGAGAATATTTTTTTCTTTTTTTTTTTCCTTTCTCTTGTAGATATTAGTGTTTTAGTGAGCTTAATTATTGTAAACACCTACCTTTAAGGGTTTTCTTGTTTACATTTTTCATTCTTTTTGTGAAGGAGTTTTGGTTCTAACTTAGCTTTTGAAAAGCTAGGGAGTTGTAAACATCAACCTTTAAGGATTTTCTTATTTAATTATTTGATGACATTCAATCATTTTTTTTATCACACCATTTTCTCCATGAGCCAAAAATTTCCCACAAAAACATGGAATTTTCTGTTAACCTCAATCGTAATCACTCAAATTTTAGTCTTTGTATTGACAATGTTCTTTTTCTTAATTAAAACATAAATTTTTAATTTGAGTGTTTATTTTTTTTATCAAAATAAATACCTAACATTTATTATGTTCTCATCTTCAAATCACTTATTCAAAAAAATGTCTAATGAATACATAACATATGACATCGCTTTATCTTTTTCCTTTCTTCATTCGATTCCTCGCGAAAACAAACAAAAATATAAAGAGAAAATTCAAAAAAAAAATCTTAAAAAATAAAATGATCCTAAATTCTAATCACTTTAATTCATCTATTCTCGTTATATCAATTTTGATTTATGCCTCTCTTTTCTTTTGAAATAAAAAATCCTAAATCTAAAAAATTATCCATAAAATACTTAGATTGTGAAAGATATATACGCGAAAGTAAAATCAGGACCCGACTCTAAAAAAGAATTCAAAAACACTTCAATTTTAATTATAATATGAGCTAGATAAAAAAATAAATAAAAAGATAGAAGAACTAATAAATAGAGAATAACGATTTTTTAACAGATAATCTCAATATAATTATAAAATAAAATATTAGATAGACATTTAAATAAAATAAAGTAATTTGAGAAGAAAAAAAACTAAGATCTCAATCAAGAGGGTTGTTCGATCTCTCATCAACTTCTCACTTTTTTTCTTTGATTTTCAGTTGAATTTCTCCATTAAAATTATGCTCTTCTTGAAGACTGGATGCTAATCACTCAACTTCCCAACTTTCATGAAGAGATTTGGGAGATGATATTAAAAATTTCAGAACTTTTATAGAGAAGAAGCATTGTGGATAATTGCAAAAATTAGACTAAATAACTGGAAAGGGGTGTAGATTGACATGGTGTACTTGTTTCGTCTAATGAACACACCGGTAAAATAATTTCAATTCTACTTTCTGGAAATATTTATATATGAGCATGCCTTAATGAAATGGATAATGAAAATGAACAAATAATGAAACAAGGCAAAGCAAAAGAGATCCAGTAAGGCAGGTGAAGGCAATAGTTGCCCCAACCAAACCCAAAAGCTCAAACAACTCTAATCTCTGCTTGTCTCTTTTGAGCAGCTTGTTGCAGTTACAGCCAACTCCATACTCGCATCTGCAACGTTTTTGAAGCTCCTCCTTCATCTTCACCTGCTCTATTCTCTCCCTTAATACCCTCAAATTCGCATCCACCCCATTACTTGATCTCCCTGCTTACCCTCCAGTTTCAACACAAATTTAAGACAAAAAAGAAAGAGAAAATGACGAAAATTCCAGTATTCTATAATCTATTACTTACCTCCATCTCTGCAGCTTTGGGCTCTGATAACTTGAAAGGGTTGACGATTATACTGCTTGAATGCTGGAGAAACTATGGTGCACGATGAAGGTACTAAAGAAGAATCCATTCTATTTTGATGAGGTTATTCTAGTTAAGTTTCTTCAAATGCAATGGCTTTCGGAGATATAGATATTCTTTCTTTGCTTTCAAGTTATGTTTCGGAGAAAATAATCTTGTTGGGCTGCTGCTTTTATTCCAAATCTGATTAGGTTATGACAAAGCTTATCACCTTTAATATATAGAAAAAAGGGTTTATTTTTTGGGGCTAAACTTGATGATTAAAATAGGCTAAAATTGTTGCGGAAGACGGCTATCGGATAGAGCAAAATCGTAACTGATAATTTGAGAAAATAAAATGAAGATAAAAGAGACACAAAATTTATGTGGAAAACCCCTAAAAATTTAGGGTAAAAACCACGGGCAACGGTAGAAGAATTTCACTATGAGAAAATAGGAATTACAACCTCTTTCGATCTACCAAGGAGAAAACAATGATAATTCTCTCTATAAAAAGGAGAAAACAACTCTCAAGAAACTCTCTAAAATCTCTCTAGTATTGGAAGAAAGCTAGAATGCTTTGGGATAATTTTGAAGCTAAATGAGCTAGGGTATTTATAGTTGAAGCTTTAAGGACTAATTTGTAAATACCTTAAATTACAATGACTAATTCCATAGTTTTACCATCCAAAATTTTCAAAAATTTGGTGGCCAAATTTGACCAATTTTGCCACCCCATTAATGCCACCAAATTGCCACCCATAATGTTGACAATTGATGCAATTTGGTGTGCCAATTTTCAACAAAAATATCTAATTAGGTTTTTATAAATTAGTTGCAACTTGTAAGCATTTTATTTTATCGACTGAGTTTAGTTTGACTAGTATCGTTTTTTATGTAACATACATAAGAAATAGTATCTAACATGTTTAATTAATTAATTCTTTAATTTATTTAAATATAAACATAAAATTAAAATATTTTATTTTATCAACTGAATTTAATTTGACTAGTATCGTTTTTATGTAGCATACATAAGAAATAATACATAACGTGTTTAATTAATTAATTATTTAATTTATTTAAATATAATTTAATATTAATATTTATAAATACAAATTGAAAGTTAAAATCCTAGTTAATTAAAATAAATATAAAATACTAACAGAGTTGGTTCAAGTAGTATGTAGTTTGATATTGTTTAAGCAAGTCTTGAGTTTTAGGTCTTGTATATACAAGAAAATCTCCGCTGGGAGACTCATCCTCTAAAATCAGGTATGCAAAAGTATATCGGTCCGGATTAATCAGAACGAAGTCTTGAGAATCGGGAAAACAACCAAAAAAATACAAAATAAATATTACATAAAGAAATTCTAAAATTTAAAGAGTATAATAAATATTATTTTATTTAATCTTGTCTTATTTAGAGTTTAGGGGTTTTGTAAATGGTGTATGATTTAGAATTTGGAGTTTACGTATAATAATTTAAAGTTTAAAATTTATTGAGTGATCTCAGTAGTAGAAGTGTATATTGTTCTTAAAAAAATTAGATTCATGCAATTGTAGAGGAATACACCTTGCAAATGTAACTATTTGAACTCGGATCTTTTAGATAGAACAACATTCTCTTTTAACATTGAAAACACTTAATGCATTCCAAACAATATTATTTTTTTATTTTTAATATTTTTAACCAATAATTCTAAAAAAATAAAGAAAAAATATATTTTAATTTTTAAAATTATAACTTTTGTGAAAATATTTACAAATCATCTTCTCCCTGATCCGTTTGAGAAAATTCTTAATGTTTCCAGAAAATTCATAATTTATAAACATTTTTAATGGAAATAAGATAAATAACTATAGATATTCTTGTCACCGATTTTGTAATTGAATGAGAAAAGGATAAAGGTAGATAAGGAGATGTATAATCATAACTAGGGGTTGTTTGTTTGGCTCTGAATGCTGAACCGTTCATCATTCAGAGCGTTTGTTTCGCACCTCTGAATGATTCAGTGTTGACTGATTCAGCAAAACAGTGCTGAATGATTCAGCACAGGAGTACATTCTGAATGATTCAGAGTCATTATCAAACAGCATGTCACATTCAGAGCTAATTCATACAGAGCCTCTAAATCATTCAGTATTTGAATCATTCAGCGCTTAATCATTCTGAAGTAAACAAACAACCCCTAAATCTTTATTTATTTTTTGGAAAAAAATGAATTTAAGCAAAATAGCTATATAAACAATAACTTTGAGAGACTTACAACTTTAACATAATTATTTTTTCCCAAGTAGTGATCAAAACATTCTTCTATTTTAATTTATTTGGTTAAACATTGACTTAAATTTTAATTAATAATTAAATTAAATTAAAATTTTAATAGTTAACTATTATTTGATGATTGAGCTTATTTAATAAATAAATATTTATTTTAGATAAAAATGTTATAGAAATAGTTTTTTTTATGAGCAAAAATATAATTATATAAATATAAAGCATGTTTTAAGTTGTAGTTTATTTTTATGAGCAAAAATGTCATTTTAAAAATCCAACATTTTATCTCGTTAACGACTAACTCGTAGTTTATTTTTTTTTTTCATTTTCCTTGGATTGTGATTTTAGAATCATAACATAAATTCAAAAATATTAAAATTTGATGAAAGTCTGATAGTTGTACTAATAATCGCAACTCTAGTACTCCTATGCTATCATACTTCAACCATGCTGCTGAACTCTATATATGGTGGGGTATATATATCCACCCTGCTTGTTTCCTTTCTACGAGTTCTCTTTCATATGATCCAGCACAACGACTAGATTAATGTACTTGAATCAAACGTGACGGCGGCTGCTGCAGTTGCGATAAATCACCTTCTTCGTCAGATGCATCAAGGGAAAACCGAGGATCCTATAACACAGTGAAAATCATTGGTCATTGGTAACACTTCTGGTAAAAGCAGTAGTTATTGGATAGCAGATGCAAGTTTTACTGATTTTCCAAAACAAAAGAAAGAAATGACAGAAGCGAACGGAATCCGAACCTGAAGGTGTCGGCGACGTTGGATAGCAGTAAATGCCTTAACCATGATATATAGGCAACACAATCCCAATGAGTCGCAACATTAATAACTGCAGATTTGCAACCGTGATCAAATGGCGCTATCTTGAAGTTGCACAAGTAGAAATTGATTTAATTCCTTCTTACCATGAACAATGTCAAAGAATAGTTTCCAGCGCCACTGATTAGGATCGGAAGAGTGTGGCGCATAACCAGAAGAACCATACACTGCATTTAAGCATGTAAATGAACAGTCTTGTCATCAAAATTAGAACCATATGTGTATGTGTGTTAGAGAGAGATAAGATACAATTAAAGCGACGACACGACAACATATCAGGCTTCGAGGGCTGGGAGCCGAGTAATCATCAATGTCGGATTCCAGAAAATCACTATCATCAGTGACCACTGTTATAAAATGAGGAGTTGGCAGGTCTCTCCTGGATATTTCCCAATTCCCTCTGAGATGACATCACAATTCTTTCTTAGCGAGTGAAGGAAAACAACCTCATTCCCCAAATAGGCTAGAAAAAGGCTATAGATACCTGAAGTTCATAGGAACACTTCCATAATGAAATAAAGGAGGCGGTGCTGTATAACCAGGCTTAAATTGCTATAAATTTGCAGACATTCCAACAAAAGAGTACCGATTAGTTTCTTTCAGTCCCAAATAAAACGATACAAGTAGATTATGAACCGACAACCATGAAACAATAGTTGGACCTGGTGGCAAATCTCGCATATGATGTCGCCCTTTTCGTTGCACCACCTCTGAACGCATTTGCGGTGAGCATACTGCAACAACCAAGAAAACCTATTATCTCATTTTCAACCACTAGAAATAAGTGGCAAAATTTGACAATGTCTATGTAAGAACAAAGGGTGCTCCGATCGCGTCAGTCGGATGGTCTCAGTTCTTTTCATGCCAAAACACAATAACCAATTTATATATGAATATGGCATACATGCAAAATGCCGAAAACAAGTCTATTAAGCAACTGATTCATCACAATAAGTTACCACTTTGCAAAACAAACAAACATGTTCAACTTTATCACATAGACCAGGTCACGATTTAGCATAATGATTCTGTACTGACATTACAATCTCAGGTAAGAAGAAGCTGGTAGATCTGGAACTGACCTTCAAGCTGCCACGGCAAGAACAGGGTATCTCCATGTTCAAATCTTGATCATCATCATGGCAAATCCTACATTCCACCAATTTACTTGGAGATGAACCAACATTGTCATCCATCCTACAAGATGACAAGTCGATTGTATCATGTTTGTTTGCTGAGGGCATGCCTTGATTTGATTGGTTACTACTCTCAATAGCAGCTTCAAGGGTTGATTCAGTCAGCAGCCGGTCCACAAGCAACACAAAATGGTCTCCCATCCTTCAATTAATACCCCAAAAGGGGAAACAAGTTAAAACTGTAGAAATTAATAGAAGTTGCAGTGTATATTGAGATCACCTTTAGTCCACAATTACTATCGATATAAAAGAACAAATGCGAAATACTAGAGATACCTCTGCAACAATTAAAACTAAAAGATGAATCTGCAATGGAATAAACCCCTTTTCAGTTAATGAGCAAAAAAGTTATAAAAATGCAAATAAGATATAAACTGAAAGTTGAAAAGAGTATTCGACTTTAGTTTAAGAGTATGATTTCTAAAATTATGTTAATCAAAGACCTTTTTCATCAAGTAAGCAAATGTATTACAAGAAAATGCAGCATTCTTGGAAGCAAATGGAATACATTAAAGTGATTTAAAGCAAAAACAAAATTTGGGTGGGAAATAAACTGTTAAACAGAATGATTTTAGATACAATGGGCAGAAACAAAGGAAAGTAAAGAAGGTAAATGATAAAGATGCATGAGTCTTTAACTAGAGAAAAGGAAAAAAAAAGAATGATAATAGAGGCATGGTAGAAAAGCTGAGAATCCCAACAAAGCAAAGACAATGAATAAACAATATCGAAACTGAAAGCAAGAAATGAGATGAAAATGGAAAACCCAGAAGGGAAATGAGAGAAGAAAAAAACCCAGAAACCAAAAATCACAGATTATGGAGTAGGGGAGAGAGAGAGAGAGAGAAACCCATGTTCCAAAAAGGATCAACTTGATAAATGAATATGATTTATTTGAAGTATAAACAAATAATTCATTATTAATGCAATGGAAAAACAAGAGGCTTACTACACAAGGGAATGAAATTTTCTATTGAAGAAGAAAGCAACAATCTTTTCTTTCTTCTTTTTCCCTGTTGGTTGGTTTTTTTCTTCAAATGCAGCAAGAGATTGAGTGCGGTCGTTGTCACCATTCCACCACAATCACCAGCATCAGCACCACTCCATCTTCATGCTTAATTTTTCAAAAACAGTTAAATTTTTTTTTCTCCCGGCTGTTCGTTTTAGTAGTAAAATCATGTGGTGGGACCAGGATGAAATGAGGTGAGAAAGTGTAGTTAGACCACGTGTCATGAATCTGAAACATTGTCAATTGGGATTGGAGCCTACTTTGGTGTGGAAGTTGGGACCACTACGAGAGACGGGCAGCTATCATCGCCGTGGATCAATGGTTGATGTTCTTGCTTTTGGACCATATTTTTTTGTTTGTTAAAAGTCATGAAACCTAGATATTACAGTGATCACAATAAATTTCAATTTCAATTTAGTTGAGACCAAAGTCTATGTAGCCGTGAATCATGAATATTTTTTTAGGGTGGACACGCCTATACATTAATCATATAAAATTTTAATAAATGTTGGGTATATCTAAAATTTCGGGGTCAAAATTATTAAAATATATAATTATCCGAAGAAAATTTAAATTTTAAGGTATGTACATGCTCATCCTAAATCTTTAATGAATTTGACACAAGTTTAATCAAGTTAAGGTTTAATCTGGAAATTTATAATTACAAGAGAATGTAACACTTTTATTAATGCACAATATAATTGCAAATATATCACAACTACCCATTTATTTTTTTTTCTTTTCTACCTACAAGTTATCTTACTCTAACACACTTTTACGCTTTTCACTACTCTAGTAACAATAATAAATCCTATCTCATATTTATAGATTTCATTGTTCATTGGATCGTTGATACATATCAACATTTAGCTACTAATCTTATAAATGTTGAAAATTTTATATAGATAATTCTAGATGTAATATCAAATATTACAAATATCTAGATTATTTTATGAATATTTATAGATATATATTATTTTTATATTATTTTAGAATATTCTCAAGATATATTTCGTAAATGATTATTATATATTTGCATGGTGGCTTTCTAACATTTGCAATTTTTAATGATTAAAAGATAAATCTTTTATTTTAAAATAAATAAATAAAAATTTTAGTTAATTTGTATAAATAACTTTGGATTTGATACTATTAATTCTTCTCTAACGTTGCCTACAACCGTATGCCAATAAAGCTTTTGTTTTCGTATTCGTTAGATATCCGATATTACTTGACAATATATCATGGTGCAGTCCCTCTATCTTCGCTTGAGTTTCTTCTTCTACTTCCACAGTCGAATGAGGCAATAATATTGACTTTGCAATGTACTCAAAAATGGCTAGAGATGCCTCGTACAAAAACAAATTGACTATAATGGGAAGTTCTAATGTGAGACGCCTAAAATAAGATTAATAAACAAAGTGACTGGTAAAAAATGTAATAGATTAAAAACGGAGCACAAAATATTATAAATCATAACCAAAAAAGTTATCTGTTGAAGTAACATAACATGTTGCACTAATATTTAATGCATGGTAAGAAAATGAGTTATAATCAGTAAATGTTATAAATATTATTAACATTTTAGGTTTCGCCTAAAAGGTTACCAGAGTTTAAGCTGATGGGGCCTTAGACATTCTCACAATAAGAAAATAAGTTTAAAGCTGAAAATGTTATGAATATATATGTATATAAGAAATACGGTTACGCCAAGAATGTCATGGTTTACTAAGAAATAGGTTGCGTCTGTAATATTAATATTTTTATTAATTATTCAAAAGTGTTTATAGATTTTAATCCTTTGATTGATTCAAATATATTATTTTAATTTTTGAAATGTATTTATTGATTAATGTTATGAACCATAGATTTAATTTAGTGATTTGATTATATGTTGATTTAGTATTTATAAATTTTATTTCTTTGATTTAGTATGAATTATTTTTTTTGATTTAATATATATATATATATATATATATATATATATTATTTGATATTATGTTTGATATTTATAAATTTATGTTTGGTATATATTAATTAATTCAAATATAATATTTTGATTTTTAAAAGTTGCTCACCGTCATTTGTTCCATGTGGTCTTAAAGAATCAGTTGTAAAGTTGTTGACAGTACGGATTCATGGTCGGAGATATTTATCTTCGAAAATCTCAATAAAGGTTTGACATTTCCTTTAAATTACTCTATTTATTTTGGTTTTTTTCTGATAGTTCTTCTCTATTTTTGTGTAGGTTTGTAGACTTTTTTTGGTAGTTTTTTAGGTTGTGTTGCACTTTTTTTTACGGATTATAGTTTTATCATGTTATTGAAGTTTTTCTAGATTAACCACGCTAAAATCTATAAATTGTTAATGATTTTTTCGTTTACCAGTATTGGGTGCAAAGTGAATTTGGAGGGAGGTTGAGGGTTGGGTTGACTTGTTACCAATTGTTGTTGGGGTTAAAGGTATTTGATCTAGATTGTATATTAAATTTGGGTTGCATATTGAAATTGAGTTTTAATTAGATATATATTTTTTATTTTGATTCGGGCTTGATGAATGAATTTTTAAACCAAAACAAAAATAATATTTATAATAGACACTTTTAATTATCTTTTGGACATAAATAAATTCAGGGTAGGCACAAATTAATTTTAGGGTGGGCATGTATATAAAAATTGAATATTTAATAAACTAATTTTAAATTCAATGGTGGGCACGTGCCCACCCTAAGAAGCTTATAGCTCCGTCACTGAAAAGATGGCTCGTTTAGACCGGATCAAGATAATTATGGGTTTAAATTCCATAGAAACTAGAAACTAATTGTATTTTCTTGGCTAGTTAAATTATCTTCAAACTTTCTCGACCACTTTTAACCAGATGTCATCCATCGTTTGTAATTTTATCATTAACCACAAACTACGAATTTCCTATAAAATAAAAAGAGTGAATTATCTATAACCTTCGTACTCCAAATATTATCATCAAAAAGTTCAAATGAGATTTAAGTAATTCTACAATGCAAACTTGAGCAGTAAAATGTGATTCAATGATATCGGGTTAAAGTGGTCGAAAAAGTTTAAAGAAGATCTCATTTTTCAATCTTAATTGATGGATTTTATAATGACTCTTAGTGGATCATAATTGTTACTCATAATCTAGTAACTTGAATAGATATGACCGTCAGATAATAGATTTGACACTATAGATCATTAGTTAAAAATAAGTGATAAATCATATGATATAAGATCTCGAAATCTCCAAATAACAAAAGAGATCTTTTGAAGGTACTTCAATCATTAGATAAATCTTTTTTGGAAGAGGTCCGAAGGAGGTATAACAAGCTTTGAACCGTAGAACCCTAAATGGCTAAGCAAAGAACCTATCCCTACAAATGTAGGTGGCTTCCCACGGCGAGGTGGTTCTTGTATAGCATATATGTAACGTTTATTTTGAGCAAGTGTCGGCAAGAAATCATGTATATATAGTTGCGTGGAGTAGGGAGAGAGGCATAGATAGGTAGATTTAATAGTTGCATGGAGTAGAGAGACGCATAGATAGGTAGATTTAATGGGCACATGGAATCATGTCAAATAGATAAAAGCCATACAAAATCATTGGGAAGAAAATCTCATGGAATGGGTCGCATGCGGATTTGTGAGCATGTTAAAACTTTGGTTGACAAGCCCTACCCCATACCTACTTTTAATATCTGTTTCCATAATGCCTGAACCCTAACTAGCACACAATGGCCTTTGCCATTGTTGAGGGGAAACAATTAATAATCCTTGTATTAACAGTGGCATTGCCTACAGAATCCATTTTTCATTATGTCCAAAATTCTTTTATTAAAAGTGAGGATCAACCGAATTTATCCACGAACGCAAATCAAAATCAAACGTCGTGAGAAATAATCTACAAACACAAAATCACGCGTTCAAATTCAATTGTGTGTTTATTCATAGTTTTATTTACGGCACCCAACCTATCACATCTAATATTTTATCCACAATACTCAACATAATGTGGTATCGTGCCGTGTCCAAAATTTATCCAAAACATACTCTTTATACGGCGTCCAAGTAATATTACCAAAACCAAACATCGGTCTTCGACAGAGACTACCCATCAAAACAAAACCCACGACAATTATCTGAAGATTGAACCTTCTAAGCAAACGATTACTTTTATAGTGGGCCGAGTCCAACAATAAATATATATTTGCTTCCATCTATCTATTTATTTAAACCTCTCTTGCATCCATCTATCTATTTATTTATAAAATTATTATTATCTACTTTTTAATAGATTATTATCTTTTAACGTTTATAATTTCATTGATAATAAAATTTCTAATAGCTTAACAATCAATATTTTAAAAGACTATTAGTTTCAATTTAACAAGTTTATTTAAATATACTCAAACTTATATCTTTATGTAGAATCAATATTATTTAAACGATTATCATTATTAATAGTAATTAAAATATTATGAGAACAACTTTTTTAAATAAAATATTTTAGTTTATCCGACAAAAATAAACATGTTAAAAAAGAATTAGACATGTATTAATTGAAGAAGTAGTAACAAAATCAAGGAAAATTAATTTTTTTTTACAAAAATAAGACCGAAACTTGCAATATAATGAAATTTTAGAAAAAGCTTGTAAAAACAAAATTTTAGATCTATAGAAACTATATGAAATTTTCTATAAATAAATAAACATGTACAATACAAGGTTCACAACACATAATTGTACAAGCCCGAGCAATTCATAGATTTGTATAAATTCTATCTTCATTCACTTAATAAATGCATGTTTACAAGACTATATCTAATCATCTAAACATTTGAAAAAACTTATATATAAACTATGTAAGATTTTAGAATTTCCCATTTTTTAGATATGAAAATTTTCAAGCACTTTAATTTAATTCTTTTAAACATGCAATTGTTAAATGATTGAGGACGATCTCTATAAGATGGCTCCTGTTTCGACATGTATTTCTTATAAATTAATAAAATATTTTTGTTACATTTTGATCTATTTTTTGCTTCCTTTCATTTTGATCTTGATCATTACAAAATTTAGGAACTTCGCCTGCATCGTTAGCAAAGACACGTCCTACAAGTCGCGTCTTATGAAAAAGTATAACCTACCTTGCTTGCTTTAATAAAAAATAATATTATTCGTAAAAAATTATTTTAATAACAATTAACACCATAAAATTCAAAGATAATCAATGCTGTAAAAATATAATGAAACAAGCTATACTATTGACTTTCGATTCAATAATAATTTAATAAAAATAAAATTTTATAAAATTAATATTTAAAAATTATTTTAAAAGTATAATGTTTAAACTATTATTTTTTATTCTTTTTATGATTTTTATTGACTTAATACAAAAATAAGTGTTCAAATTATATTTTGAAATATTATATTTTTTTTTAAAAATAGGGTTTCTAAAATATATATTTAATAACTATATTTTTAATTTTTTAAATAAATTTTCAAAAATTACCAAAACATTACATGTGTCACTTAATGGAGATATTTGATGGCAGTTAATGTCCATACACCTAAAAATATAACGTTGAAAATATTAAATATCTATTTTTAACGAAAAATTCTTTAAGAACTAAAAAGATTTTCGATGTATAATTTAGATACTTATTTTTGTATTAAACATTTTTTATTTATTCAAAACAATTCATTCTACTTTCGATTATACATCACTGATAAGATTGATTGTACTATTGGTTTTTTATTGAACCAATTTAATCGATCGATTCGGTCTAATTTTAATAATATGATTAAAAGTTTTATTAACAATAATTAAATTATTTTATCCTTCCAATTTGTTTTTATTTTTCTCTTTCAATATAAAGTTATTTAAATCGAGATTCAACCTTAAATTAAAATGATATCTGAGAAAAAAGTAATTTTTTTTTTCTGTGGGTGAAGTACCAAGCTTCTTACATATTAGAAGACTTAACTAGAAAAGCATTAAATTCTGGGAATACAACAAAAGCTGGTTTAATTTATTTTCTTGGTCCTTCATGTTTTATTCCCGGTGGCAGCACCACATCCCCATCGGCTATTTGATGCTGCATGTAAACAAAACAACAAAAAATCAGTACCCAATTTTCAAAACCAAAGATCAAAAGATTATGTGGAAGAAATGATTTACGTGTCGCAGTTGATAGTAGGATCAATGGGAACGGGAACACTAATACCACACTTCTGAGGAAGCTGCTTAGCTTTGTCGGGGATAACCCCGAGAGCTGGCCCAGCTTTCTCAAAACATCGGCACAGCTCCCGGCGTGCCAAAGTGGTGGTAGCAGAGGCGGTGACGGTGGCCACCGCTTGACAACACGGAGGGTCGGGGCTGTCTACTCCGGTGGTCAAGAAAGGCCTGCAAGGCATCAATGCAGTGAGTGCATCTTCACAGGACATTGCATCAACAGATTTTGATTTCACAGCCAAAATCATGATGAATGCCAAAACCCCAAGAGACCAAGAAAAACTCACGAGCTTCTTCTCCATTTCTATTTTCCCCCCCTAATATATATTGAACTTGATGCTCACTGTGAAGAAAACTGGAGTTTGGTGCTCTTATTTATAGTGGAAATTTTGGATTCTCATTTATAGATATAATTACTGTTTGTGCTGTCATTTTTCCCTTTTGGGAGATACCCTTTGTTTTTATGCGATTAAAATAATAATTTCTGGTTGAGTGCTGATTTGTACAAAAGTAATGCTTCGTGGACCTACTGATTCTCATATAGAAAATGTTTTAAGATTTTTTTAATGGTTTGGGATTTTCCTAGTCTTTGATTGGACTTATTACTTATGACAGTTTCTTTAAGTGGGGTATATGTACACTTAATTATTTTTTTACTATTATATTAAATAATAATTTTATAGTTATAATTTATACAAGTTTTTTTATTTAATATATTATTTTTAATGAATTTAAAAATAAATTATTTATTAATTTATTTATTTTTCCTTTTAATATAATCTGTATCATATGATTTTGATTAACATTTTCTGTATAATAATACATTATTTGATCTTTTTAAGATTCAAAACCAACAATGGTCCACAAAACTGTTTGAATAAATATATATTTCAAAGAATTGGATATTTTTATTAATAAAGTGTTGGAATTAGCGTTGTAAAATAATAATAATAATAATAATAATATCGTAACTGATATTTCTGTTGGGTTCATTTTCGTAACCGATACTATTTTAAAGCATTGGAATTAACGTAATAAAATAATATTAAAATATAACATTACATTTGGTACATATATTTTAATAAAATTCTTAATATAGTATTTGAACTTTTAAAATGTTTGATGTGATATTTTTCATTCGATAAAATACACGATACGGTACATGTAATTTGATAAAATATCTAATATGATACATATAATTTTAAAAAATAACTTGATACTTATATTTTATCAAATATTTAATATGGTACATGACCTATCATTTAATTTTTGTTATTCTATTTGGATTAATAAAAATAGTAAACGTTAAATTAATCTATGAGAATTGACATTTACTATAATAATACAAAAAATGATAGTTAAGTACTACAATAAATACTTTGTCAAAGTATAGGTACCATATTAGATATTTTAAAAGTACACATATAATAACGTCTCAAAATTAGGTCAGTATATCTCGATTTGATATCAGCTGTTACATGTACTATATTATATATTTTATTAAAATATAAGTATCAAATGTGATATTATCCATAATAATAATAATATTGTAATTGAACTTAAATTTTGAAGTATAACTATATAGAGATCTATTATGAAATAGAAAGTGAGCTTTTTAATATAATTTTCTTCATTCACAATATCAAAATTTAAACTTTGAATTTATTTAAAGAACTCGATACATCATCTCTTTAGAATAGATTATTGTTGGTGCAACAGATCTTAAACTTTTTTTATTATAGAAATTTGATCTTTTTAATCTTTGAAATATATAAACTCAAACATATATTAACAGATGACATATCTGTTAATTACTTTTTAATTGTTAAATATATTTTTTTTGAATTCATCGTAGTGTTGATATAACAAAAATTTAAAATAAATTAGCTTGATTTTAAATGTTTTCGTTAAAATCATTTTTAAAACACTTAAAAAAATAATTTTATCAAAACAATGTTTTTTTTGTTTTTTTAAAACATGTTCTTAAAATCTAGTGTTTAAAATGATCGACTTTTATGGAATTATTTTAAAATACTGGAAAATCATTTTTAAGTAAGAAAAAGAACAAGATCAAAGAATTGTTCATTGGATGGAGAGGCCCCTAATTGCAATTTTGAATGATCAATCCCTACCAATTTATATGCTAAATAGAAGTGGTCTCTAATGACCCAATTTCACAACTTAGCCCATTGACTTACTCTCACCTACAATTTGACCCCTTCAAACTTCAATTATGAGCAATTGAACACCAAGACCTCTAAAGATTTGTAACGATCTTGACATTAGTACCTATTAAGGACTCGACTAATAACTTGAAGGTTCAGACTATTAACACTCGTCGATTAACGATATCTTTTAATCGTAGAAGGATTAGCGTGTTATAGAGAGCAATCATTTCCTCGACCATAGCTTGTTGCCAACCAGGATAATTCAGTGATTCCTTAACAGTCTTGGATACCTAAGACGTGTGAAATTGTCTTCATTGTACAGAGTCTCCAGAAATCACATAGTTATCTTGCACTTACAAGGCCAAACCAAATAAATTCAAATGAAAGGCAAGAAATACAAGCATTTATCACAGTTTTTTCTGTTCAAAAAATCTGGATCAAAAGTTGTTCCAAAAATCCATTTACAAAGTTAACATGGGGTATAAAGAAACCAACCTGATATTGGTAATGAAAGATGGCAAACTGCATTAGTCATCGTAAGAGGCATGCGGAGCAGCAGTGCATCCAGGATCAAATGGATTTTCAGAGCCACAACAATGCCAGTATTGAAAAACTTTGCCGGAGTCGGGAGTATCCATGGTGCCCCCTGCATACACGCTCTTGAACTTCCTCTTTGTTTCCCCTGAAATTATGTAGTTTGAGGCATGGCAAAAACTGCAGTTAATTCTCTAAATGTGACAAGGTTTAGGTGTTGTTTGATAAACTGGAAAAAATTAGGTGTTGAATTTAAATTATAAATACGTTTGATATTTTGCTTAAAATTAAATATTGGATGTAATTATATTGTTTAATAAATACAAATTTTAAAGCATATTATACTTAAAAGAAATAAAAATAGAATAAAGAATTGCTGAAAATATTCTTGATAAGTAGGTCCTTTATCAACCCAACAATTTTCACACTTCTTCCTTGAAAAATTCTAACTTAAAGTTTAATTTTAGATTATCAAACATGCTTAAAATATTAAATCATTAAAATTATTAATTTTCAATGAATTGAACATTTTCAACAATTCATCAAGTAAACCCTTTATTGAAAAAAAACAAGTTTTGAAATTCGAAGGGGTCTATCAAGCAAGTTGGAAGCTGAAACAAGTGCAGAATTGCAGATACTTCAAAACATGCTCTATTAGCATATAAGGGTTGAGTGTCAGTGAAGTTAGTATCAGCTGAGCTGAGCTGGTGTGCATCGTGTGAGGTTGTTGAGTGTGTGTGTGAATGGTAGTGGTTTGTTATGAAACTGTTACAAGTTGTTGTGGTTAGTTAGTAAACAAGTTGTGTAATTAGGCATAAAGCCCTCACTGTTATGAATGAATAGAAGAACACATTTTGCTTTCAATTGCTAAGCTACTAAATAAGAATAGTTCATCATGGTATCATTCGCCATCTATTCCTGAGGTAATTTGCTTCGCTGCTTCGTCTGGTAGTGGACATGGACGCTGTAGCTGCTAAGATGTTTACTCACAAGAAGGTGAATGTAATTCTTGATGAGTCAAATTTTTTACTCTGGAAGCAGCAAGTTCTACTAACTGTTCGTAGCCATCGACTTGAGCGATTGTTAACTGGTACGTTGCAACCTCCGCCTGCGTTTGTAGTTGATGCAAATGGTGAATCTGTGCCGAAGTTATACGATGACTTTGTAGCACAAGATTGTGCACTGGCGTCGTGGCTATTGTCAACCATCAGCTCTCACCTGTTCTCTCAGTTTGTTGGCGCGGAGACAACAATGGCTGTTTGGAACAAAGTATTGCAATTCTTTGCGCATCGCTCTACAACAGCAGTCATCAGTCTTCATTACAAGCTTCAGTCGCTTAAGAAAAGAGATGATAGCATGAGGACTTATCTCACTCGGATCAAGGAGGTGTGCGATGCGCTGACTTCGTGTGACAGTGCGGTCTCCACAGCGGAGCAGGTTGCCAGCATCCTAAAAGGTCTCTCCAGGGATTATCAGCCTTATGTCGCGTTCATTACTACGATGAAAGACTCGTTGTCTCTTGATAAGGTGTGCTCCTTGTTGGTTGATGCTGAAACTCAAATTGCTGGTTTTGATGCTCGATATGATCAGTTTCCAATAAGTCCTCATGTTGCTAATCTGAGCAATGGTTCCAAATCGAGCAACATGAATTCGTATAATCGATCAGACTATCGTAATGAGTCTGGTTATGCTACTCGAGGACGAGGTCGTGGAAGGTCGCGGGTTTAGTGCCAGCTGTGTGGCAAGAATGGCCATCTAGTGGTTGACTGTTGGCATCGATTTGATCAGAATTTTTCTGGTCAAGTTCTGCTCGTACTTCACTCCGAGATAACTCTGGCAGTGCTCACTATTCTAGTCTTGAAGCTGCAGAAAATGTAGCATGTTCCTGCTGTGCTAAAGGATCTGTTGAGGCTCATAATGTTACAACTTCTAGTGGCTCTTGGGTGGTTGTTTCCGGTGCATCACACCATATCACACTTGATGCTTCGTTCGTTAGTCATAAGGGCGATTTTACAGGCCCATGTAAGTTAATTGTTGGCAATGGTGTGCCACTATCTATTCATGCTACTGGTAACTCTACCTTAACATCTAATTCTCGAGCATTGTTGTTAAATGATTTGTTGCATGTGCCTACGATAAAAAAAAACTTGCTCTCGGTGTCAAAGCTTGCTAAGGACAATGGTGTTTACTTTGAATTTCGAGCTTTGAGTTGTTGTGTTCGAGACAAGGATTCTGGTGAAATTCTTTTGCGTGGTGAAGAGCGTGGTGGTCTGTATTTCTTTCAGTCGAATACATATTCTAGGAGTAGTGGTTCGGCAGAAACTTATGTTGCACTTTCTTCGAATAAACTGTATGAACTTTGGCATAGGCGCCTAGGGCATCCTGTATATGGGACCCTAGAGCAAGTTTGCAAATCGTTAAATGCAATTGTTGATAAGAATGAGAATGAACACTGTGTTGCTTGCCATATGGGCAAAAGTCATAAGCTTCCTTTTCATGCGTCCGAATCAACTTATACTGCTCCGTTCCAGTTGGTCTATCTGATCTATGGGGACCTTCACTTGTTGCTTCAAACGGGTATAGGCATTATGTTAGTTTTGTCGATGCTTGTACACGACACACTTGGTTATAACTGTTGCATGATAAATCCCAAGCAATTCATGCTTTTCAGTTGTTTCAGCAGCTTGTGTCCACGCAGTCTAACTCGAAAATATTAGCTGTGCAAAGTGATTGGGGAGGAGAGTTTCGAAGTCTCTCTCGTGTTCTTATAACGGCTGGGGTTGTGCATCTTGTAACTTGCCCACACACCTCCGAGCAAAACGGAGTCGTTGAACGCAAGCATAGGCATATCATTGAGCTGGCATTGGTGTTGCTTGCTCAGGCTTCTATGCCTATTAAATTTTGGACCTATGCTGCAATGATGGTTGTTCATCTCATCAACAGATTGCCCACAAAGGTGCTGCAAGGTTTATCTCCATATGAGTCGTTGTTTCATAAGCAACCTGACTATAGTTTGTTAAAGGTCTTTGGTTGTAGGTGTTTCCCACACCTTAGACCGTTTAACCATCATAAATTGGAGTTTCGTTCACATCCATGTACGTTTCTTGGTGTGAGTCATCAACACAAAGGGTTCTTGTGCCTTGGCAAGAACGGGCGAATATATGTGTCTAGGCATGTGAAATTTGATGAATGATAGTTTCCATTTGCTGCTGAATCCAGTCACAGCTCTTGCTGCACATCTGGTCAAAAGAGTCAACCTCTTGGCGTTGTGGTAGATGTACATCGATTACTTACTGAAGTGCATGAGCATGAGAGCTCTGTCACTAGTTCTACTGCTTCCTCGAATGCTCTTGAGGACTCAAATGAGTCTATGTGTCCAAGTGGAACTAATGTTGATGATCTAGTTCAGGAAGACGCAGTTGCACCTCCTGGTTCTATTCAAGAATCTACAAGCAATCATCATCCCATGCTAACTCGTAGCAAATGTGGCGTCTACAAGCCCAAGGTATACACTACTATTCTTGATGACAGTGTTCCCTCTAATGTTCATGATGCGTTAATGTCAACTAAGTGGGCAGCTGCAGTTCATGCGGAGTACTCTGCTTTAATCCAAAATCAAACTTGGAGTTTGGTTGAGCTACCTCGTGATAAGAGTGTTGTGGGCTGTAAATGGTTATTCAAGCTCAAACGGAACCCGGATGGTTCTATACATCGATATAAAGCTCGCCTAGTAGCTAAGGGATTTTCGCAAGTTCCTGGCCATGATTTTGTGGCCACGTTTAGTCCAGTTGTTAAGTTTGCCACTGTCTATGTGGTTCTTACAGTAACAGTGACTCGAGGATGGTCGTTACGACAAATAGATGTCAATAATGCATTTTTGAATGGTGATTTGGCTAAAGATGTTTATATGCAACAACCCCCGGTTTTGAACAGCTTGGCTCCAATGGGGCTCCCTTAGTATGCAAGCTACAGAAAGCTTTGTATGGACTTCGCCAGGCTCCGCGAAACTGGAATGATAAACTCAATAACAGTCTACTTGAGCTCAGTTTTGTGGTGTCAAGGGCTGATATATCTCTATTTGTTCGAATTGTGAATGATTCATGCACGTATATTTTAGTATACGTTGATGATATAATAATTACAGGAAGTTCCGTTGCGGAAGTTGATGTTGTTATTCGTATGTTGGACAAGCAGTTCTCTTTAAAAGATCTTGGAGCACTTTCGTTCTTTCTCGGTATTGAGGTTAAGAGGACTAGTGATGGCTTAGCTCTAAGTCAGAAAAAAATAAATACTCGAGCTGTTGGAAAAAACATATATGCTTCAAACGTCCTCGACTTGCACACCTATGGTAGTGGCTATGAAAAATTCAGCGAAAGGAAGTGTGTTGTTAGCTAATGCACGTGAATATCGAAGTGTTGTTGGTGCTTTGTTATATGTCTGCCATACTAGACCTGACATTGTCTTTGTTGTTAATAAGGTGGCGCAGTTCATGCAATCACCTTGTGAAGAACATCTCGTTGCTGTTAAGCGCATTTTACGTTATCTTGCTGGTACATTGGATTATGGCTTAGTCTTCTCGGCTGATGATACTAAGTTATGTGTAAGAGCCTTTTTTTGATGCTGATTGGGCGGGTGATACAGGAGATAGACGTTCGATGACTGGCTATGGAGTGTTTCTTGGTAACAGCTTGGTTACTTGGGCGTCTAAGAAGCAAAAATCGGTGTCACGCTCCACGATGGAAGCTGAGTATTGAAGCATTGCAGAAGCTGCTGTAGAGGTAACTTGGATCGATGCTTTGTTAAGTGATCTAGGGCTGCATTCACTCGATACTCCTATTATTTGGTGTGATAACACAAGTGCGGTAGCAATGACTGCCAATCCAGTGTATCATGCAAAGTCAAAGCATGTTGATCTTGACATTCATTTTGTCCGAGAGAAGGTTGCAGCTGGTAAACTGAGGGTGAGTTATGTTCCTGTCGGTTTTCAACTTGCTGATGGACTTACCAAGCCTTTGGCTAAGGCGTCGTTTCATGCTTTTCGAGACAAAATTTATGTTCAACAATGTTGAATGAGAAAAAAAAAGGAGAAGAAGAAAGACGGGAGAATATTAGCATATAAGGGTTGAGTGTCAGTGAAGTTAGTATCAGCTGAGCTGAGCTGGTGTGCATCGTGTGAGATTGTTGAGTGTGTGTGTGAACGGTAGTGGTTTGTTATGAAACTGTTACAAGTTGTTGTGGTTAGTTAGTAAACAAGTTGTATAAATAGGCATAAAGCCCTCACTATTATGAATGAATAGAAGAACACATTTTGCTTTCAATTGCTAAGCTACTAAATAAGAATAGTTCATCATGCTCAAATCCCATTTTTATTTTCTTTTTGGGCAACAAAAAAATTTGCCAATTTTCTAAGGACAGATTAGCAACTTGTTTAGGAGCTGCAAATCTGCTCAGTTTTATATTTGGAAATGTTGAACAAGGAGGTGAGACATGCTCCAAATGCCATAGAATTTTATCCTATGTTGTTGCGACTCTTCAAAAAATCTTTTCAATTACTGACTTGTATCAAAACAGTAATACCTAACATATCTGGGACATGGTATGAAGATATATCCTCTAAGGATTTCTCCAAATAAATGGAAAAACTGAAAAATTTAATGTACTTCTGTGTATATTCAATTATGTCTCCCACAAAGCCAATTGTGGTAAGATCTTAACCAGGAATGAACCTACATTACAATTTAATCTGTTATTCAACAATTAATTTTGCAAAATGATTCCAAGAAAGTCACCAATCTCATTTAGCTGGAACAGGAATTATTCACATCCTTCACCATTCAGTGCTTAAACTTGCTGTTCAAAATCTAAAAACAACACTCGGTCATTAGTTCTTAACCCGAGAACCCATTTTTCTTCTAATTATCTAAATCCATGTTTTAGTCATCAGCTGCTTATGAACCCCCCCCCCCAAAAAAAAATCAGAAATATTAGTTATGGTTACAGTTTATGCATAGAACGCTTAAATTAGTCAATACAAACCAAGTAAAGAAAAGCAAAAAGGATACCTCCAAAATGGGCAGTGTGGAAACGGTAAGCCCGAGGGTGATTGAACAAAGGGTCGAATTAGGTTTTGCAAACCTTGCATGTTTTGAGGTTATGGGCGCTGGATTCCGATGAGCAGAGGATTGGAGGTGGAGCCGATTTGGATACAATATGGCTGGTTTTAACGGAAGACGAGTAAGGGTTGAATCTGTGGGGAAAGATTGGCGATTTTTTGCAAACGTAAAGCGAAAGAGGGAGAGGGATTGTTTGAGCCATGTAAAAACCCTTTCGATTTCTTAACTCCACAAATTGGCCGATGTACATGAATTTTGTTCAGTATATAAAATATTTTTTTAATTATAGGTCGTTGACTTGTTAATTACTTCAACGGTTAAAAAGTTAGAAAATAGTTACTTAATTATTTATTATGGTTAAACTTGTCATTTTTATTAAAAAGTTGACGATAATCTAAATTAGATGTTAATCAATTGATTAGAATATGACAAAATATGATTTTAGAATCTCATATAACTATCATATCTCAATCAATCTGGTAACGTTCAACTCAGGTGATGGTCAATTTTTAATGTAAAATGATAAGTTTGAAATATAATGAATAGTCGAATGACCATTTTATAACTTTTAATAGTCGGACGATGCATCAAAACAACATCTTATAATCTTATAATTAGAAGATTATTTTACCTTTCTTTTTAATGTGTATTTTTAATTTTTTTTTCTTTCTAAATAAAAACACTACCAAATAAGTTTTACCTAGGAGGATATAGTAAAAAATAATTAAATTAAACTGCAACTAGTAAAAGTAGCGACTTTATCCAAGATTGTCGTTAGCTGCATTAAATTGTGAGTAAATTGGAACAAAGGAGGTTTGAGAGTTAAAGAATTTGATAATTAAAATAAAGTATTTTTTATGAAAAATGGAATGCAGTTGTTGGAACGGATTGATAAATTGTGACTTCAAGTTTTGAGAAGTATCGATGGACCAAAGACATTCCGCATATCATACAACGCCAAAGAAGCTCTAGATTATGGACGGGATTAAGTTTTGTTTGGAGAGATGTCCGAGCTGATTTATTTTGGATCGTCCGAAATGGCAATAGGACTGATTTCAAGTATGATAACTGGATAGATGGAGCTGAACCACTTGTGCATCATAATTTACTTGAAATGGAGCCTCATCCAACACCGGTTAGTTCTATGATAACGGCGTCTGGTGCTTGGGATTGAAATCGTTTGTCTAGATATATTTCTGTGGATATTTTGCCATCGCATTGCTGCTATCTGCCCACCGAATCCAGACCTTGGAGAGGAAACTCTGGCATGGAGTTGGAAGGCAAGCCATAAGTTCTCAGTTAAGTCGGCCTATAATGCCTTAGCCCTAAACACGACAACGTCCCTTAAAGAACAAAAATATTTCTATAGCTCACGCTCATGGAAAATTGCTAACGAATGAAGAAAGATTTCGTCGACATATAACTGATTCCAACAGGTGTGCTATTTGTAATACTGATGTGACGAATATTAGTCATTCTCTCCGGCGATGTCCAATTACTTTAGATATTTGGAGCAGATTGATTGCTGCTAATCAGTTGCATAGTTTTCTGAATATGCCCCCATGAAAAATGAATTATTACAAACACCAAGGGACAAAGCAATTTTTCGATTCCTGCTTTGCACTGGGGTACACTGTTTGCGGTTGTTTGCTGGAAAATTTGGAAACGAAGGTGCAGTATCCTTTTTTCAGCCGAACTATGTGGAGCATGATGATTTGTTGGTGCAAAGCCTCCGCCTTAAGCATGAGATTCTAGCCACAAGCTCTAATCCTAGGAACGAAAGACTGAACCGTGGTCAAGTAAAGCGGAAAGGACATGAAATGAATTGGGTGAAGGTTAACGGTGATGGAGAGATGGGAGGTTCGAATTCGATGGCTGCAGCTGAGGGTGTCATTCAGGATTCACAAGGAGATTGGATTATCGGTTTCTCGAGGAGCATAGGAATTTGCTGGCGTTGCAAGCTGGGTTATGGGCTCTACATGATATCCTGATCCTTGCCTGGAACATGGGATATAGACGTGTGGAGGTGGAAATGGATTATAAGTTAACAGCGAGTATTCTTAACAGGCAAAATAGAGAAATGGATAGGAATGTGATTGCTGCTCTGGTTCATGAGATCTTAGATCGTGAGTGGGAAATGAGAGTCAACTATGTTCATCGCGAGGCTAACACAGTAGCTGATCAACTTGTTAAACTGGCCAAAGGTTGTCCAGTAGGTGAAGTTTTCTTCCAGGTTCCTCCTTTGGAGGTTGTAGTTGTGTATGAGCATGACCAAGCTCATATGTTTTAAGCATATTCCTTCCGGTATTAGCCAAAAAAAAAATTGAGTAAATTTTCGGGTTCAAAATTTGTTTGCAGACAACATTTCTCGTCGTTATTTATTAACTTGCTAAATAATTTTTATTTTGGAGTGAACCATTAATATTTTAAAAAATGTGATGAAAATGGAGGGTTTTGCTTAGCATTCCAATGCTAAGGACCAGGAGAATAATTTGTCTAATCATAGGAAATAAATCTGATTTGGGTTTTTTTTTGCGAGGGAAATACGAGCAAAAGAATGAGTCGTTTAATTGGCAGCAACTCTTTGCATACTCAATCTTATTCATCTTTTCCCTCTCTCTCTTCTCCCATTTTTCAAAGCTAAAAACCTTAATCAAAAGGTTTCATCTTTTTGGTGTAAATCACGCATCTGAGTTAGATTGGGATAAAAATCATTTTCACCACCCTTAAAGCTCCAAAAACAAGTTCATCATCACCATCTTGATTGATGGTGTGAAGCTTTTGAAGGATTTAAGGGAGGTTTATGGTGTAGAGATAACCATTTTGCATCATTATCTCATTTTTGCATCTTGGATTAGTTTTTTTTTTATAATTCTCATAATCATTTTAGTAAATTGAAATTTGAATAAAATCAAACACTAAGGAATTCGAAGATAAAACACTGGTTGAAAGAGCACTCTTGCAAATCTAAGAAGACAAGTTATGAACTAGAACTGAGTTATTATAACTAAAAGTGTCTTTGCATCAGTTTAGGTAACAAACGTTATAATGAAAAGAAGTGAAAGCTAAGCACTCAAAATTATGAGAAAATGCATTTGTCTCAAGTCTAATAAAGAAATAATCATTTTGCTTAAAATAAGTGGCGGAGTCATATATATATATATATATGATGGCATGGTAAAATCTAAAATTTTTATTAATTTTTTTATTTTATTGACGATATCTACCATAAAATTTTATTTATGTCAATTAATTTAAAAAAATTTTGTTGCTAGCTCATATGCACCAACTATCAAGAATATTTTTGGATTCACCACACTTAAAACAATAAATAGGGGTCTGTTTGTTTGGCTGTAATTGGTTTTTCGGAAAATAAATTACTGGAATTTGAATTACTGGAACTGGAAAATGAATTACTGGAATTTGAATTTTGGAAAATGAATTACATTTCTGGAAAATGTTTTCCGGAAAATGTTTTCCGTAAAATGAATTATATTTTTCTGAAAAACATCTGGAAACGTTTTATGATGTTTGGAAGATGCTATTTAAACATTTTTTCCACTAGTTGGATAGTTTTTTTAAAAATTATTTATTACAAATATTAAATATAATAAATAATATTATTTATCATAAAACTTAATATTATTATTTTAAAATATTAAAATAATTTATTTATTAAATATTTTTTTATAATTTTATTAATAAAAATAATAATTTTTGTATATTTTAGTGAAATAAAATATTATAAATTATATTAATTATTTATTAAAGTAATAGTGTTATATTATATTTTAAAAATATTAATTAGTATATTTTAAATATCTTTATTAAAATATTATTTAAATATATAATATTATTCATTATAATATATAAAAAATTATTATATATTATTAAAATAAAATATAATATCTTTATATTATAATATAATTGATTATTTTATATAATATTAAAATATAATATTATATTATTATCAATATTAATAAATAAAAAAATATTTTGATGAAAATGATATTAAAATATTTTATTAATATTAAATTCATAAAATAAAATTATTTTGAGTATTTATTCTTTGAAGTGAAAAGTTCAGAAAATGACTTATGAAAAATGAATTCGTAAGTCATTTTACAGAAAACACAAAGGAAATTCTGTTACTAAGAAAATAAATTACATTTCGGAAAACCAATTACGTGAAACAAACACGGGAAAAACATTTTTCGAAAAACAAATTACGTGAAACAAACACGAGAAAATATTTTTCAAAAAACAAATTACGTGAAACAAACACAAAAATTCAAGAAAAAAAAACTAATTCCGTAATTCTAATTACATCAAACAAACACACCCTAGGTTACTACAACAAGCCACGTGTAATTTCCAACGAGCAAAGATATTATAATGCACGTGAGAGTTAATTTATAAACTTCAGTAATAAGCCAAGAAGACCAAATGACCCTCTCTTTTTTTTTTTTACCCAATTACCCAATTCTGTATTTTTCTATTGGCTCTATATTTTTTACCCCCCCCCCTCAGAAATTCCTTCTAGGGTTTCAAAAATGGCAAATAACAGCAACAAAGAAGAACCGAGCACTGCTCCGATGCCTAATCGATGGTACAATATAAGTTTAGGGTCTTCCTTCAAGGACCAGCAGCAACCTTCTTCCAAATTCTGCACTTTACGCTGTAAGCAATCATTCCCCCTTTCAATGTTCCAGGATTCTGTTTGTTAACCCAGAAAACATCTTCTCATGCTAAGTCCATATGTATATTTGATCGTTCGATACATTATATCTATTTCTACAAAAAATAAAGTAGGAATTTTAATTGAATATACAAAATTTGATGGTATTCGAATTCAATTTTGAAAAAAAAATGAAATTAGAGAGATTGTTACAGCAGTGTGTATACAAGAAAATTATCAAGAGTAGGGTAAAAGATGTCTCTTTTTTTTTCTAATAGTATATAGATTGATTTGCTTTCCTTTTCTATGATTTTTATATTTGATTAGCAATACAATGAATCGCTTTGATTAGCAATCATTTGTTTAAATGGGATCACTTCATATAGTATTTTCCAATCTGTATCAGGGATTAATATTCAATTGGAATAGCTTAATATGTTCTTTTTTATGAGTCGAAAATCATTTAGTCTTTTAGCTTTGTTTTTGCAGTCCTTTGCAAATATGAAAATCATTGAGATTTGAATTGAATATTCTTGGTTTTGGTCTCCAGTACTGAATCTCCAGCTATGAGATGTCTGGTTTGGATATTGAGAGTTGCATTAATGTTTACACGAGAGATAACATCATTTGCTTCGAAGTATGCTTTTATTGGCCTTTTTCTTTTCACAATGTTTGGTTATCAGTCTAGTGAGGGGTTCTATTCGATTGATATATTAATTTCTTACAGTATCTGAAAGTTATTCGGCAGTGCAAAATTGTTACATCTTTTGTTTGGTTCTGTTTCAGATGAATTTAAGCCAGCATCAATTGATAAGAGCCAACCAGGATCATTCCACAAGACGAAGGATAATCGGGTTAAGGTAGAATTTGAAAACAACCAACATGGAAAACCCAAGGTGACATTTGAAGGGACATGTGAAGATTACAAGGACAATGATGCAGTTTTGTTCTTTGATGGTGAGACCTTTCGGTTGGAGCGGTTACACCGAGCTGTGAAGCGGTTGAGGCATGTTCGCCAGCCTGGTGAATCCACAGCCATTGCTTCTTCATCTGGCCCTGCTACAGAGTCTTATTCGCCTCCAGTTGGTAGAGGACTGAAGCCTGAGTCTTCGAACAAAAGTTCAGTTCCATCAATACCGGTGAGTTCACTTCACTCCTGCAATCTCATGCATCATTGAATAAAGTAGCCATTATTGTTGTTAATGTGGTCTAAATTAATATTAATTTTTCTATTTTTGTTGTTTTCTATGTGACTTTACAGCTTCAGGTGGAACGTATTGACACCGGTGACTTCGAGAGTGGAGGTGAGATTCTCTTTTTGTTAGATGCTAATAAGGTTATTTTAGGCCTTCATCACCATGATTTTACCGGTCTATCTTAATCCGGGTTCAAACTTGAAACAAAAGACGATTATCTTACTCATCTCATTGTCAGAGTCCAGATAACTGAGCTTTTGTAGATCCATCAACCACTTCATATCTTAAGAATTTTTTGTTTTTAGTCATTTCATTTTACCATGGTAAAACGCTCACTTCCCTGGCCATATTGCGCAGAATCTAGAAAGCAGAACAACATAGAGCCCCCGTCATCT